GAGGCCGTTCTGCTTCAGGATCGTCAGGCGACATTGCTCCGCGTCAGTGGAGATGTGTCTTTGGTAAGTGGGGCGTGGTGCAGCTGCCAAAATCTCGGACCTCTGGGCTGGTCGGCCAATCGGGTTCTCCCGCTTATCTACAAGCTTTTATGATATCATAGGTAGTTACGGTTAGCTCTCAGCTGTAACGTAGCTGGGTGGGGCTTGCAGCACTTCCACAAGTAATCTCGGGCGCACGTGCCGTCTCACTCGTCATAACGGGAGCGGATAGCCGGAAAACGGAGCATTGTCTGAGTGCAACGCTGTTTGGGGTACGTCTGGGTAATGCCGCAGGGTCCATGCAAACCAGAGTCGTCTCATAGACCCACCCAGGACGTCGTACATGTGGTCAGATCACGTCAAATCCCATGCCAAGCGTAAGGAACATCAAGATTACGAACTTCTCCCGAGTACTCTCGTTCACTTGACCCGAGTACTCCCTTGGATGCATGAGACGCGTTGCATTGAAAAAAAGGTATGCATGTACACTATGAATACAGCAAATCGCTCAACACTGTCTTCGTCTCAAAAGACCGCGCCGTCTGCCCACTCGAATCCGTGCCATCTAGTGCTAAAATTATTGATCTCTAACCATGCCATTTGCAGAACCTTGACCATCTATAATTTCTTCCCTGAATTCACATAAATCAACTCTTCTGCATCATACATCTTACACTAGATTGAGTGCTCAAAACCCAATCGTGCCTTCAAGCCAGTGGCGCTGGCATTCTCCCTCTGGATCCTCGCGGATCCACTTTTGAAGTTTGGCAATCATCTTGGTCGCTTCACGTTCATCGTAGGCCATTAGCAAGCAACTGTGCAACTCGGGCCATTTGATATGGCGATTACGCTGGCCCTTGCGTGGACCCTTGAGGTGCGTCTTGAAGTGATCGCCGGCGTTGTCTCCGCGAGCCATGGCGCCTTTGCAGCCTTCAAGCGGGCAGGGGTATTTTCTTTGCAGACTATGCTTAGTCTTATGCCGCTTCAGGTGCTCGCTGCGTTCAAACCGACTTCCACAAATCTTGCCATCTTCATCCAACTCATCGCATACGTGCTGTTTTGATGGGGGTGGTCGCTCCTCGGGCACATACCTCTGTCCTTCCCAACGGCCTTCATAGTCATACACAACCTCGAAGCCACGATTATTGTAAACAGCGCCCGCACGGGCTTTACTGCGTCTAGAAGCCCGTCGGCGAGGCCGGGGCGGACTGCTCTTGTTCGTTGCCAATGGCCTCGAACCAACGCTGTGGCCTTTCAGATTCGGGCTTCCTGTTCCTTCATTTTTCACTACCATGTAACCATCTTTTTCGGACTCGATAAAATATGCATCAACAGGGCTCCGTGGAGTGATGACAGAAAAACTACTGTCGGCCGGACGGAAGATATCGTGTCCTCGTTCATGGAACTGGGCGGGGCATGGCCCGTACGAATCCATGGCCCAGTCGCCTCCGGGCGATACCTGTGAAGGTAAGACGACCTGGGGTGGAGGGCAATAGCCCGCTAGTCCGTTGCCGTCCAGCGTGTCTTCCGCCGCAAACTCGGCGCCCGCGGCTGCTTGGAAAGAAGCGGTAGCTGTATTGCAATAGAGAGGGGATGTGTTGTTAGCAACGGCTGGCGGAATTGCAGGTGTCGTTAACCATGGATCCGGAGACACGTCACTACCCGAGAGAGCCATAGCAGGGGCCCCGTTAGAGACGGGTAACGGCATGGTGGAGAGCGAATGACCGTGCATATGTTCGAGGTTCCGCGCGCGCGATGGCGCGTGCATCAGATCTGGATGTTGCAGTGGATACAAGTCGTTTGCCGTGCCCAAACGGCCGTCCCACTGAGACGGGTATGGCGGAAAAAGGTCGAAATTGCCAGTCATTTGGATGGGAGTTGTTGGCAAGGAGATGCCGCTCATAGACGACGTGCCTGACAGAGGCGCATCCGAAAGGCAGGAAAATGCCATTGAACCTCTACGGCTGTCCTGGGCGGACTGGGGAGGCGTGAGAAAGCCGTGAATGGCCCGGTGGTGCACCGACGGGCGTGCAACCGGGGTCTTGGTGTCAATGTCGGGAAGGTGAACACCTCTGTTACCCCGGGACGGTGTCGAGTACGTGGACATTGTGTATGCTGCCAACAGCCGTTAGCGATATCGGTGCCGAGTACGCATGACACGAGCACGACGGACGATCGTGTGACGTACAAGTCGCCACGTCTCGTTGCAACAGAGCGAGACGGAGGTTGCAGCCTACAATGAGAAAGGGTAGGAGAAACGAGAGACAAGGGCGTGGGACTCAAACAGCTCGTTGCGGAAGTGTGTGGCTTTTGAACGGGTGACATGCACCCTTCGTCTTTGATGACTGGTAGACTGGCGACTTACCATTGTGGAACATATTCAGACTGGCTATTTCTGCCCGTTGCATCTTTGCAGTCGTTACCCACGTCAGGGCCCTGCCAAAGGGTGCCCGGCCAGCTGGAGTCACTGGACAAGTTAGCAATGGCCCAATGCCAGGTCCGAACCCAATCTTGAGCCCGGAACAGCCACAGCGTACCCAACCGCAAATATGCGCTTTGAAGCCTCCATATGATCGTCTGGTATGTGCCGCTTTGTCTGGCTTTCTTTGTCAACCTGGTCTCGTCCTGTGCGGGGAAAAAAAGTCTTGCTCTGGTGCTGCTGTTTAACTGCCCGACTCTAGTTGATCCAATCCATCTATTAAAGCAGATGGAGCGGTCCATGTACCAAGTGGGTTGTAGAACGGGTTCCCGGTAGCGCTAATGCTGCGCGTTCCTGAACTCCATAGCTCGATTGCTTCAAAGGCGCAGTTCGGAATTCGGTTTCTATGCATAGTGGCCTTAGGCTTTCGTCGAATTTTCCTTTATTCCGCCAATGATGTCGCTTCGCGTCTGTGGGTTACACAGCTGCAGTGGGACGTCCATCAGGAACACAGTGGTGGGGAATGCCACCTCCTTCAATGTCAATTTTACCTCCGGCCTTTTCTTTGGATCGAACCATTCGATTCTGTTTTTTATTCTGATACAGCCCGCATCCAGAGCCATCTCAACTGACTGTGCGGTGCGGTGAGGTCGGAAGTGGGTGGGAAAACTTCGGGACTGGGTATTGGACCCCGCAGATGCGACAAAAACCATTCTTGGCAACGTTTCCACGTCTGACCTCGTGAATAACGCAGCCAGCCGTGGTTGCTGCGCTTCTGCCACACCGTGGACATACCCTCTGGACATAACTCGGCACCTACCGAACAGCGGGCCAGAGCACGTGTTTATCCCCAACGGTCTAACATCAGACCATCCTGTGGAAACAAATATTAGGCTTTTTCGGTATTACATGATATGCAAGCTCAAGGCGAGTGTACCGTGTGCATGGATGTCTCTTCGTAAACTTGTCTTTATCATGAGGGTTGGCAAGTGGCCCTCATCAACCAGCTGACCACGTGAGGTTTGACTGGGCGTAAAGTCGTGCTCCATGTACTCCAGTAATTGGTTAGGTTTCCGAACGCCTATTTCCTTTTCCTTTGTCAAGTTAGCTAAGTGTGGCTATCGTATAGCTGCGCCACTATCATTTCCAGAACCTCTTACTTGACTCACTCTTGGGTGTCACGGAACCATACCGTAGCCACGTGACCCGAGACCTCACCTCCAGCTCATATCGTAGTTAGCTCTTCCGTAAGGCACAACACAGTTGTAAGGATAGCGTAGTTAGCGCCGTGACATGGGGTTTGACTTCGAAATTGCCATCTACGAATCGACCACAAGCATAGCTTGCCGTCTCGGCTTATTGTTCTCCAACGCTTTTGAGTTGTATATACTCTCCTCATTTGGGTCAATGAATATAGGGCACGGACAAATAGCACTGCGGTGGCCAAGATTGAGGTATCTATCTACTGTATATCGGTAGATCAATGGGTTATGAACAGAAGCTGGATTCCATTGCCTCAGCCCGCTGATACTGACCTTCCCATGCCGTTCCACCCACAGTGAAAGGGCCCACAAAAATGAGCTCAAAAGCTTGCCATGCTGCGGGCAACATGCAGGATATTCTGAGAACCGAAGGTTTCGCTATTGTCGCACTGTGACTAATCACAGATCGTATGGAAGTGAACATAGACTTGGACTTCATGCTTCCCTGAGCCGATGCCTCTGTCTAGAAGATGCCAGTCTATTCAAGTAAGAAATACGCAACTTCCTCTTTTCACCTCATAACACTAGCAACGTGGCTGTATCTTGGCCCCTAATTTCAGTTGTCGGTCGCCACGTAATTCACGTCAATTTGTTGATCCAATCAACAAAAACGCATTCGTGGGAGTCACCCGTGGATAGCCAGCAGACGATCATGATAGCGATTGTCATAATCCCTATTTCCCACTTAGGGCTGAAATGCTTGTTCTAAATGTAGCTCATACCTGCAAGGTCAAGCTATGGCCTTACATCGGAGTCCACAACACCTCTTGCAGCAGAAGCTTGGAGATCGGATGACAAAGTATTCCCGTTGAGTGAGAAGTTACTACTTGGTATTCGAACAGTCCAACTGAGTTGAAGCGGTCAGATTGCACAGGTATTGAAGTGAAAATGAATGTAAGAGTAATTGTCGCAGCGGGAGATGGTATGTTGGTACAATCCATGAACATGGCCACTCCGTAATTGTAGATTGCGTCGTGCATCGTCAAAGAGTGGAAAAGATATATTTGAAGAACACTGTACTCCAGCGTAAGAGTAAAACACGGTACCTGGGGAACACAGGAGACAAAAATATATAATCCTCGTCACATGTCGAGAAAGTTGCGACACAACGTTGTGGGTGCGTTCCTCTTTAAACCTCTTTGGAGCGCTTTAAGGAGGTGTAAAGGGAGCAACCGAACGCACCCTGAGTCGTTGTCAAGGGAGTAGGTAACTTAGCCAGTGCTGTTTCATGTTATGGTCACGATGATACTAAACAAAAACACGATACCAAAAAAAAAATTTGGACTAGCCGCGAGTCGAACGCGGAACCTTCTCCATGTAATCATCTGACCCTCTTAGAGGGATGATGCTAAGAAGATGTCATACCGCTAGACCACAAGCCCACTTCATATAGACCCTCTGCAGGTGAAGTGGATATATACCATATATGCAATCCAATATGTGCAATGACCATCAATTTGACCTCTAACTGCTTTCGTTGAAGCATTCATCCACTTGCTGAAGAGCCAAGGGTTGCATGCGCGTAGTGTGCCATCTCTGAAAGTCAATAATACCCATGTGCTGGACATTAGCTAGCGCACTCAAGCATGGAAAATCTTTGTGCCAGCCTCACCAACCGGAATCTCGTGCACACACAAGCTGTTTTGGAAAATCGATCAGAATTTACTGAGAAGCTATGATTTATTTACTTTCAATCTTGATACATATGATGGTATAAGTATCATGAAAGCCTCACCTAGTCTATGGTATTTCTTATCGCAGGGTTTACAGTACCATTCAAGACTTAACATACGATACTTATCGTATGGCAGTAAAAAGAGAAGAAACAAACAACCAGGAAAGGCATATACAGCTGACTCTCGCTATAACGGTGCCTGTTATAACAATGATCGCGCTATATCGGTGACAAGGGGCCCGCAAAATTGATTTCTCATCTAGTCTAATAGATCCGTAACAACTTTCGTTTTAACAATGTGCTTGTCACAACGTTGCTCGTGGTGCCGCCCACGCCACTGCTAGAGCGAGATCCAACGGTCTATAAATCGAAAATTCATATAACAGCTCTAAGTGGCTTTTGTGAAAACTAATAGCTGTGCAGTCATCCGATCATGTTGCAACACTAGGTTCTATATGGCTGCCAGGGTAGCCATGGTCAACTTAAAACGATTCCAATCCAGCCAATCAGCCTACCGCGATGCACGATATATTTGGATTTGGGAAGCTCTTGCGAGTATTTGGGCTCGCCTTGCAAACATAAGTTGGCAGAATATGTTTTCAAACCCTCGCGTGCACGGAGAATGGGAAGTTTGAGTTAAAGTTGCCTCTCCTTCAGATGGGACAGCACATATCATATGATCCAGCAAGTTCACTATCCACGAACAGCCCTGCTAGGTCATCTACACGCTGGGCAGGTGTCTGTTCTTTTCCGCCCGACGTAAAAGAAGAGTCATATTGATAGAAAGAGCTCTTTTAACCGCATTTGGCTTAGCTCCGGAGATACTTCCGCGAAAACAACCTCACCTCCCCACAACCATCGACATTTGACCTCACATACTCAGCACCAAAGCCTATTGGGTGTTGTTTCCCGATCGACTTTGGCCAGGTAGTACATACATCTCAAATTGCAGTTGGTTTGACGTTGGCTGCGCAAGAAGTGAGTTGGCTGTGGTCACTGCGGCGGAGGCTGAGGCATCTGCTGCCATTGCTGCGGCGGTCCTTGTTGGAAAAAAGCTGGCTGTGGCGGCTGTGCCCGCAGCATTTTCTGCTGCTTCTGCTCGATGGCTTCGAGACGCTCACAAACCTGCCCCAGTACTGATGGATCGGCAGCCCTGACCCGACCTCGCGTTGCACCGCTACCCACTCTTCCTCGTCTGCGGCCACTGCCCCGTGCCCTCGTGCTTCCATTTCGCCGATCGATGCGATCACCAGTAATTCCTCTCGAGGATGGAGCCTGAAGTCTGGCTGGGGCTACTCTTGATCCCTTGGTGGTGGCGTCCCGGTTAACCTGGGCTAGCAGCTCCGCGCCTTCCTCGTCCAGCGAGAATTCTCGTCTCATCGACGTACCAGCTGAGTGCTTAGTCGGCATGGGAGCAACACCCCGAGGCCCTCGTCTCCATCCCGGCAGTGCATGTGAATCATTTTCGGCACGTATACCTCTGTCGGCCTCAGACTGCGGCTATCATTTCACTTTATTAGCTGCTGGTCTAGCGAGACCAAGTCGACTTACCATCATATCAGCATCCTGATGCCAGTGGCGGCCTATAGAGTCCATGGACAAGGCGGCTTCTTGATTGTTCCGCGCAGCTTCCTCCAGGATCCCCATGATCTCGTGGCGCCACGGCAAATCCCATTGCGTGCGGAAACGATTCGTGCACAGGGTCTTTCTGCTTTCTCCTTGGGCATGTATTGCCTGGAGCTCGTGCAGGGCCAACTTGAACTGGTCATACACCTGTTTGATTGGGTGCCATGCCATCTTTTGTGAGATTGGCTTCAGAAACGTGGTGTTTTCGATGACGCTATAGGCTCTGCGGTCTTCACGTCCACACTTGTGGTGAAATTCCGTTTCGCCCACCTTCACTACTCTGACCACAGCCCCATAAAGCTTAAGTAGGTCTCCGGGACGGTTAACAATATGCCTCTTCAGAGAGGCGTGCATACTCTCCACACGGCCAGAGGAATATATACCAAAGTTGCGGTATGTCGGTGTTGCATACCGCGCCTATTCGTTCCTCCATGGGATGTATTGGTTCTCCAGGTATCTCAGCATGCCTATCAATTGTCATGCTTAGTGAACGAATGTCGATATTCGTGGTTTTGCTTATCATCTTGCTCCATGAATGCCGAATTCATCAGTTCCCATTTCGCCCAAAATTCAACCTCGCTAGGCGCCCGTGTCAATTCAACCCAGGCCTGGAGGAAACCTTGAGTCCTGTGGATCGGTTGCACCATGCCACCTTCCACACCACCTGCCACACCGTCCACCATCCCGGCAAGCCTTGTGGCAGCAGCCTCAGCGGCTTCGACATCTCGGTCATGAGCGGAGACATTCGACTCATCTACCTCCTCATCATCGGAGAGCGGTGAATACTGGGCTATATAGGGCCTCTCATTCTCCTCATTCTCAGTCTCCGCATCATCGCCACTTTCCACCCACTTCTCCTTCAGGTGGAAGGCCACATTTTTATTTTTGTGCCACATAAATAATTGCAATCGTGTCTCGGGGTAGGTTAGCCCCGCTGCATTTCGGAACGCTTGGTAAAAGTCGCTGGGTATGATGCACAGCGGACTTTTCATCAGCTGATCCGCAATATCCCGCATATGTACCAGGATCCAGGCGAAGTCGCTCTCCGTTTCACCGGAATTCAACGAGAAGGCGATGCGGAATGGTGTATGAACTGACGTGGTGCCAACTATAATACAAAACGGCATGCTAAAACGGTTTACCTATCACTTGGTTAAGAAACAGGCGAGAGCTGCATTGGGTACGGACGAACTCTATAAGTATTGTCGAGCAACGCCAGTCCTAGTGTCTCTTCCACATTGCGAGACACCACCAAAACGTCCAAAAAACCCGCTTCACCCGCCCATCAATTTCACGATCGAGCTTGTAGAGGACACCGTGGCGAACACGGTTACTCTCCAGCTGTTCAAGGAATAACCGAGTTAAAGTGAAAAGACCATATTTCTCACGGCGCAGCTTGAATGTTCAAGGCATCGCTGATCGTAATGGAGATTCTCAGGTTGGAAGCCGCAATCGGTTCCGCAGAAGTGCCACCGACATCTCCACGGTCTCCCCACAAAAACTCTAGACCTATGGAATCATTGTCAATCCCAATGGGCTCGCTTTCTTCTACAGGCAACGGGTTGGTATGCACACCTCCCCCGCAGTAACACTGCGATCTGCGTTGCCGAGAGGTGCGCAGCCAAGGACGAACGTTCGACCCGCGTCTCGGCTACATTGGGGTGTTGCTCCCGCCAAAGGCGCCGGAGAGCCGGATCCGCGAGATCGTCTATTGCCCCGCGGCGAGTGTGCAGATCGCATACGAAATCCAACTCCCACGATTCAACGGCCTTGCGATACACGACCTGTGCATTAAAATGGCAGCCGGTCTTTTGTGAGGTATTCTGGCGCCTCAGGCTGCTACCAACGTTGGGGTGGTGGGAGGGGGGTGGGGGGGGAGAACCTCGACATGTGCACATCCAGTTGTGCCGGTAAATGGAACCATCCTTGACATATTTACCGCTGACTTTTTCTCGGACAATGCCATCCTCGGAAACAGAGTAGCCCATAGAATGCTCTGAAGCTTTAAGAGCAGCCACACACTCAGCTGCTGTGGCATAGAAGCCTCTTACAGACATATCACTGGCATGCTGTACGTGGTAGCCAGCAGGAAGAGTCTTGGGGTTGAGACATGCTGTATGTTCGTGGGTTATATCGTTTCGTTGGAATAAGATATGAGTAGGTGTCTGCAATGAGTGTGAAAGATGTCTCATGCTGAACTACACTACACTACACAGCTTATAGCAACTAATCTATCTCAATCGGTGGTATCCATCAAAGAAATTATGCGATGCGTTGGGAGGTTAAACGCGCCGTGAGTGCCTTAGATATTAATTGATCATCGCATGAGCTGATTGGCTATAGCAACAAGCTAAGTCCAATACGGTTAGTAAGACTCTTCTATTAATATGAGTGTTGGATGGCTCTAGTACGAACGTTCAATATGGAAGCACAGAGAATGGGTTGTCGTAGTATCTTTTTGACTCCTCTGCGTACAATGGAGTTAGGGGCATGCTCTCCGCATTACGTCACATCCCAATCCATCATGTGCTATCATATCGATGTCCGACAATGAGGCTCTTTTTCTACGTGGGGCGGTTCTTTTCCGAGATTGCAATCGGCCGAAACACGAGGGGAGAGTGAGACAAAACAGATGGTGTTCCGCAATTGACGGAAAATTTCGCAGTCACTTTCGCCGGTGTGCGTGACACAATCGCTGAGTCAACACAATGTCCAACAGCGCGCCGATTGACGGTCTACCGGCCGAAATTCTGATCGCTGTATTCAACTGCCTCATTGACGACCGTCGCTCGCTACGTAAGGCCATCTGCGTGTGCCAAACATGGGCAGAGATGGGGACAAATATTCTTTGGCGCAAGCCTCCCATGCGCGCGTTAGAGAAGCTTCCTCCGCAACGAAAGCAGTATTATGCCAACAAAATCAAAGAAGTATCCACATACTCCTCTCACCGGGCAACGGAAGACGAGCTTCTTTTCCCACAGCTCCAGCGCTTTACGCTGTGTTCCGTGCCCAGGGGGCACTCGATCAAACAGTATATTCAGCCATGCCTTAAGGAGCTAACTATCCTGGACAAAGATTCAC